ACAATGCTATAATTTGTATTTCTGGAAGATTTCGCTGTATAATAATGTCGGTTGTGAATGAATTGGTTTCACTGAAACGATGACTGTAGAATGTGAATGTTTAATCAGTTGCATCGAGCTAATTCCTTTAATACAGAACATACACAGCGGTTATAAAAGTTAAAGTTAGTTTGTAAACAGAAGACACTTTGCATTCTTATGTTTATGGCTTTTTCTAGTTTAGTATATTCTTTACATTTGTGCGTTTTAGGCTGGTTGAGACCGTTGTATATTCTTTACAAGCGGACTTTTGAAGCTAGTTATATGTATAGTACATGCTACACAGTTGTGTGTTTACATTTAGCTCCGTGTATAGTATATTCTTTTGAACTGCTATTAAAGCTAGTTGTGTGAGATAAAACAGTACTTCGCAGGACGGTGCTTAGATTTGATTATACCATACACTATATAAAGCTTTAAGGCCCTACTGTTTTAAATAATACCCGCTAATCTCAGAAAATTTGGAAATATAGTCGCCTTTTAAATATATATAGATAATGGAAATATACTGTCTTTACATTTGAATAAAAAAATTAATGAAGAATGTGTTTTCAGAACCACATAAATTATATTGTATAATCCTCAGAAAGGTTCTAAGTTACAACTGAAACCAGTTCTTGGAAGAAAAGTGGGTGGGGAGGGGGGTGGTAAAAAATTAAAATAAAATTGCATTTAAAATATATACTTCATCGGTCGGTGGGGACAGTATTTGGGTCTGTCTCCTTTGATCGCGTCAACACTGTAGGACTCTTTTTCATGACCTGCAATGCTAAGCCACTTTATATGGCGCATTTAACCTAGTCACAATTATATCTAAAACTCACCCTTCGTGGATGCTGGTTAAACGCGACGATTCTTGTTGCCTAGCAAACCTACCAGCCATTTAAAATATATTACAAAAAGACTATATAAGAAATATATTAAAAGTAAGTTTTTTCAAGGCCCGTGAAGACTGTGAGGCCCCATACTGTAGCTTATATCTAAATCCATCACCGATTCTGCGCCAATCCAAGAAAAATTACGCAATCTTTCATTTGTATGTGTAACTACTGCTGTGTTTCCATCGATGGTGAAAAGCAGTTAAGGTGGCGGGTTGTTTGAGTTGGCTCTTCTGACGGCCGTCTTGTGCGTGTGCATGCTATAATTTTTCCGAAACAGTGCATTTTGTGGGTAGCTGCCATCGGCGCATGAGCCTAGCAGTTTTAGACTGATCAGTTACCTTGTAGTTGGAACTGTGATTAGCTGATTTAAAAAAAAAAAGAGGGGGACGGGGCGGCGCGGGGGAAGGGGCTACAGTACAGTCTTGAGAGAAAAACAGCCAGTAAAGTCGATAGGATCGACTTTAGTGCATTTACTTTGATCCCAGATAACTCGGTTTCTCTCCCTTGAACGTCTAGCCGCCTGTCGACAGCATCGCACAAAGCCCGACCCCTGTGTCTCCGGCGATGACCTTAAAATGATCACATGACCTTCAGAGCTCGAGGCAAACAGCTGAACTTATTAAGTACCCAACAACTTACGATGCGTTTGTTCGTATCCAATTACATGATATGTTTTTAAACTGTGTCAAATCCAGATTTTAAAAGAACTTACTGTGCCCCAGTTTTTACTGTAACTTCATCTAGGAACAGAGACTACTTGTGGACTTAATTGTCCAATAATGCTTACAAGGAATAGCTCACCATACGAAGTCTGTATACCCAAGGACAGTTTTATGTATGTTATAGGTCTGTTGTGTAAGCATACAGCTTCTGATACTTGTCAGAAAAGACCTAACCATCACCGAAGTATTAAACTACAAGAGGATGTTTCGACTTCAGAGAGCATGAATCATCTCATGTCCTGTCTGAGTGGACTGAAAGACAACCCATGGATAAACGGAAAGGATCGTGCTTTGGTCTTTTTCTCAAATAAAGGTACTAATCGATACAATGTAGAAAGAAACACTTTACGAACATGTAGAAACATGAGTAAAACATTTAAAGAATACGCCTACATTTTAAATATAAAATCTTTGTATAGATTTGACTTCAGCTCGATGTTATATCAGTTTGTTAAAGGAAAATCTGTAGATACCACAGGGATAGACATTCAGTCAGATTTGGATACCCGGTGTCAAATGTCAGCAACAACTCCAAATAGATCTGTCATTTGTTTGAGAGAAAGAAACCCTGTTTACCCGATCACCTTCAAGGGCTGGCCAGGAAAACGCAGTTGTACATATGTACATGAGTACAAATTTACGAGAAAACAGAAAACTGAATTCATGTTAAGGTTGAAAACAGGTCTCAATAAGAGAAGCAGAATTATGTTAAAGAAAATGAAACCTTGCAAGGTTCAAATACAAATTATCACAAATACTGACATGAAAAGATGTATGTGCGCAAAGGAGTTGAGAGTTATCTTAAAACCTTTACCAGTTGAAGAAATTGTGTACTGGACTACGCCAAAAACAAATGTAACTTCAGATGCTTTGGAATTGTGCGTTGACTGAAAATTCATCGACGTTAAACAAAAGTTGCTGTCTGAATTCAAATGTTAGCATTCCGCGCATAATCGGGAATGACCGTGGCTTAGCAAGTTTTTGCTGCGATGACTGCAAAGAGAGCCGAAGGACTTGTTTAAGTGTCAGCATGACATGTTTATCCATGTCTGAAAGTGAAGGTACATACAGATTTAGAAAAGTACTTCTTATAATATCCGTCGTGTGGCGTTGGTAGTCAGGGCTAACCCACGCCTCCTGTATCGTGTACTTTCAATCAATTCTGACACAGATAATCTCCCATAGTCCATGCCGTGTGGCGTTGGTAGTGATGTCCATCCCCAGCCTCCTGTATCGTATACTTTTAGTCAATTATGACACAGATGATGTTCCATAGCCCATGCCGTGTGGCGTTAGTAGTCAGGTCTATTCCCACCCTTCTGTCTCGTGTACTTTCAGTCAATTCTGACACCGATGTTCTCACGTGCCACGATGTCCGACTGTCCAGAATTTTCTCTATTGATCCCCCCTCTGCTTCTTTTCTGTTCCTAATTTTCCACCATCACGATGTGTACTAGAGTTTCCTCTTTCTCATAACATGACCAAAGCATGTAGATTGTAATCTCCTGATGTGGGCACTCAGTTCTCTTCGTGAGGCAGTTTCTTTGATGACATCTTCATTACGCTTTTTATCTGTCCAGGGTATTCTCATCATTTGTCTATAAAACCACATCTCCGCAGCTTACAAATAATTGTTCAATAATCGTCCAACTGTCTATGATTCACTTCCACACCTCAGGATAGGGTTTAGAAAGAAATATACACGTAAACTAAATTTGCTTTATTAGCAAATTTATTAGTAAATTAGTACAGTGAAATAATAACTAGATCCATACATGGTATGCCAGGAATAGCGGTTGCTGGGCATATTGTTAACAACCTGCGATATGCTGACGACATAGTGTTGATCGCTGAAAATGAAACACAACTGCAAGCAACGATGGATGTAATTGTAATTGAAAGTGAAAACAAGGCTCTTTGAACAGCAGAAAATCAAAAGTCATGGTAATTACAAAGAAAATGTAACATCAAAGTAAATAGGACAAACCTCAAGCAAATTGATATGTTTAAGTACTTGGGTACCCTCATAACATCAGATTAAAGATGTATTAAAGAAGTTAAATGTCGAATGGCTCAGTCATAGGCAGCATTTTACAAAATGACGAATATTTTATGCATTTTTCCTTTGTCAATTGAGACGAGAAAAAGATTTCTTAAAAACTATATATTTTTTTTTTTTTTTTTTTACGTATCCAGAAACCATGAGTTGTAAACCCTTTGGCTCGGTACTATGGATATCGCAACCCTTCGGCCTTGATTCCATTATAGGTACCGTTTAATCTGGGAGAAATGTGGCTTTTCTGCCCACCCCCGGGAGTGAACCCGGACCACAAGGAGTTCGTCACCCGGCCGCCGCGAAAGTCAGGTTTAACCAACTTCGCTAGAGAGCCGGGCGAAAAAAACTATATAAATCCTATCGGCCGGCGTAATGCTGACCACATTACCCACCGCGTGCCGATTAGTCTGTAAAAATATGGGTGCTCTTCCCATATGCCCGATGCGCCTAAGGGCGTGTAAAGTTATATAAAAAATATATATATATAAATCCTATATTGATATACAGAAGTGAATCATGGACATTTAGTTATTTATTGAAAACTTTTTTGGAAGCTGCAGAGATGTGGTTTTTATACGAGTTTATTTTGGCAGAAGGAACGTTGGAGGAGAGGAGAGGCAGAGGGAGATTGAGAGAACAGATGCTGGACGGTTTGACATCATGGCATGGAAGATCATCTGTGTCAAAGTTGACTAATAGTACACGAGACAGAAGGTCGTGGATAGACATGACTACCAATGTTACACGGCATGGACTTAGAGAACTAAACAAAGCACATTTCCTATGTCAATGTTTCCACAAGGGACAGTGATGGACGTTCTGTGAGTTTTTCGTTGGCACAGGAGCGGAGCAACTATTACCAACGTACATTCCCTCTTCTCGGTTCAACGTCAGCAAGTCTGTAGAGAGCACACTTACAGAACGACCAAAACAATCTAGAAACTTCAGTGTGGCCAACTCTTCTTAAGTGATCATCTGCTGTCCACACAGGACAAGAACCACCTGGCTGTCATAAGTCTCATGACTCACATTTGTATGTACAATCAATCGATCTCAGTGGGTGATGAGTTATTTGTTCAGTTAATTAGTCAGCTTATCGACAGATTATCCTCATTGCATATCGGACAAGTCCATAATCGCTCGGACCCCATCTTCAGTATATCCCTCAGCGTGTGGCGACTGATAGTTCTGTGTTGGTTTACTATTCTTCTTTGACTACCTGTATAGTGTTCATGTTTGGGGACGCCTCTTTTGATATGGAGTTGTAGTCTGTTGAGTGTTGACGATACAACGAATAATGAATTAAGTAAAGGAACGTTTACGCGCAGCAGTCACAGAATAACTCATTAGTCCAGTCACAGGATAACTCATCAGTCCAGTCACAGGATAACTCATTAGTCCAGTCACAGAATAACTCATTAGTCCAGTCACAGGATAACTCATCAGTCCAGTCACAGGATAACTCATCAGTCCAGTCACAGGATAACTCATCAGTCCAGTCACAGGATAACTCATTAGTCCAGTCACAGAATAACTCATCAGTCCAGTCACAGGATAACTCATCAGTCTAGTCACAGGATAACTCGTCAGTCCAGTCACAGGATAACTCATTAGTCCAGTCACAGACTAACTCATCAGTCCAGTCACAGACTAACTCATTAGTCCAGTCACAGGATAACTCATCAGTCCAGTCACAGGATAACTCGTCAGTCCAGTCACAGGATAACTCGTCAGTCCCCCACACGTTGGGCAATAATACAATAAAATATTTACATCTGAAGGGACTCAACATAGACACTATCGGGCATAATTATTTAAAGTAACAATTCATACAATGAGGGCTGATATAACTTTTCATGTTTTAGACAACAGCAAGAACACCATTACAGAACACCCCACAGGGAAAAGATATATAATATCTATCCCAATATTGTCAAAGGAAAACCATGTGGAAAGTTATCAGTTACTCACCATTCTCCAAACCCTTCCAGTGTAAATAGTTGATATCTTCTTTGTTAATTTCCATCGATATCGTCTTTCCCGTGCATCTGTAACTTAACTGTTAATCATACGTTTGATTGCTGAACAACCTTAACTCACACCTGAGCCCCATTGAGCCATTGATCCGGGGAGAGCAAGAAATGGCTTTTCATGCTTGCACTGTGCTAGAACTTAACTAGTTTAATGAGACTCGGGAAACGGGTTGTTGGTAGAAATTGATTTGACATAAATGAAACAAAAAAGTAAGTTCTGTATCCTTAACACGACATTGTAGACCCCCCTCCCCCCCCCTACCCTTCGTTCTTCTCAATTTAGTTTGCCTGTTTGTCGTAATTAACTAGGCAATTTTACGTTCGGTAGTTTCTGGTTTCATAGGCGAATGAGAATAACTGGACAGATAATACAAGAGATGACGCTCTCTTGAAAGAAACTGACTCACGAAGAGAACTGATCGCCCACATCATAAGGAGACAATCTACATTCTTTGGTCATGTGATAAGAAGGAGAAAACTGGAGTACATCGTGACGGTAGGACATTTGGAGGGGGAGGAGAGGCAGGGGGAGACTGAGAGAAAAGATGCTGGACAGTTTGACATCATGGTTCTAGAGAACATCTGTGTCACAAGTGATTAAAAGTGCACGAGGCAGAAGGTTGTGGATAGACATGACTACCAATGCCACATGGCACGGACTTCAAAAAGAAGTTTGCTATTGCTTACTGAATAGTTGGCTCTCAGTATTACTGAGAGAGAGGAAGATATGAGAGAAAGGAGAGGAGACAGAGTATAACAGAGACAGGATGTGTGTGAGAGTAGTGGGAAGAGAGATTGCGAAAGATTTAAGGAGAGGAAAGGGTTATAGAGACCAGAGGAGAGAACTTAAGAAAGAGAGAGAGACAGAGAGAGAGAGAGACAGAGAGAGAGAGACAGAGAGTCAGAGAGACAGAGAGAGAAACAGAGAGTCAGAGAGTCAGAGAGAGAGACAGAGCCCAACATTGTTACAAAGTTTTCAATATAAAATAACAGTCACACTCATTAAGAAGTTCATTTGTTTTAATGTCTCAACATATTTCAATAATATAATCTATCTGAAAGAAATATCTTATAATATCAAGGTTTTTTTGTCGCCTTCTTACCGAATACAAACAACCTCCTTACAAACATCCCAAAAGCAAACAAACAAATCTCACAGGAAAGTCACTTCTATTTATGAAAAAACAATATACATCTCTATACAAGGATGTATAAAAATACATAATAAGAAATCAGTTCTAGTAAACTCTGTATGGTAAACAACATGGAAGGCACACTTCCTATCCATATTATTTACCACACTAAAAGCCCGGCTCTCTAGCGTAGTTGGCTAAACCGGATTGCGCAGAGACCGGGTGACGAACTCCTTGTGGTCCGGGTTCAATCCCGGGGTAGGCAGGAAAGCCACATTTCTCCCAGATTTACGGTATTTACAAAGGAATCAAGGCCGAAAGGTTGCGATATCCATAATACCGAGCCTAAGGGTTAACAACTCATGGCTTCTGGATATACTAAAACAAACAAACAAACAAAACCACACCAAAAAGGCCTTTACTGAAATTAGAAGAAGCAGTAATAAAATAATAATAAAAAAATATAAAAATTAAATGAAACAAAATGTTTTGAACTGGTCCATTTTGGGGAATATAGTAAAACTGTACTCACTGGAATACAGTGAAACTGTGATCATAAGATCTTTCCCTTTGTTTTCTGTGTGGGTTTTGCGGCCCCATTGTCTGGAAAAGTAGAACAGACCCACTTTTCCCCAAACAAGCATATCGACTAATTAGGAAAGTTTCCTTTGAAATCAGAATGCATCTTCCTGAAAATTAAGGAACCAGCAGTCTGCATACAAATAAGACAGCTTTATTAAATAGATGTGTGCACACAAATCAGGCTCTGGTACAAGACTTATTTGTCTACAAATGGATAAACAATCAGAACCTTGTGTCTTTTCTTCACTTCTTGGTCCAGTGGAACTTGTTTAGTTCTCTCCCAAAGCTCAAAATGAGTGTTTGCTATCACACCATTCCCTCTACTCTGCACAGGCAACAGTTAAATAATGTTTGTAGTGTATTAGTTTTTAGTTGTTCTCCACATTTCCCCTCCACACAACAGTTAGTTAATGTTTGTAGTGTATTAGTTTTTAGTTGTTCTCCACATTTCCCCTCCACACAACAGTTAGTTAATGTTTGTAGTGTATTAGTTTTTAGTTGTTCTCCACATTTCCCCTCCACACAACAGTTAGTTAATGTTTGTAGTGTATTAGTTTTTAGTTGTTCTCCACATTTCCCCTCCACACAACAGTTAGTTAAATGTTTTTTCCCCTCCACACAACAGTTAGTTAATGTTTGTAGTGTATTAGTTTTTAGTTGTTCTCCACATTTCCCCTCCACACAACAGTTAGTTAATGTTTGTAGTGTATTAGTTTTTAGTTGTTCTCCACATTTCCCCTCCACACAACAGTTAGTTAATGTTTGTAGTGTATTAGTTTTTAGTTGTTCTCCACATTTCCCCTCCACACAACAGTAACTGATCTGACATAAGAATGAACAATTTTAAGTTGGGTATTAGTTTTAATTTCTTTTGACCCCCACACATTTCTTAGTGCAGTGAACATTTCTTTTACAAGTATAGCATTTAAGTATCTAGGAGGCATAACAGTAAGTCAGAATAATTATGTCTTTGGCTGATACATGTATAAAGGCAGAGAAAGTGTGGCAAAATATTATGTTAATCTGTTAGAATGTCTGTCTGTCTGTCTTTTCCCACCCAGGTTGCTACCCGATGATCTGACCAATCCTGGGACTTAGGGAACTGCATCCTGCATGTCAACTAGAGAGAGAAAATCCCAGATAACCTGTTCAACCTCCAAGGATGTTGTAATTAGGGCTTCTATGATGGCAACACCAAAGTGGTGTACCCTGAACTCACGTGGGGGTGAGAAAGTTCCCTTCTGTTAGAATGTAAAAAGACTGTTCATGCCATTAGGTGTACTGGGCTAGACTTGTATTTCACAGACCAATCAGCACTCTGTCGGTGATGAGGTCAGTATTATGCTGGCCGCCTTTACCTCCTAAGACTTCACCTGGTACCCATTTTAAGTGGGTCAACCTGGGAAACATGTCATTTTTAAAAAACTGGCTGAATGCTGATTTGAACCCATGACTTTTGGGCCCAGTCGAGCATCTAGCTGCTACACCACAGTGGCTTCCCTGTCAGAATGCAAAAAAAGTAAATAATAATTACAAAACAAATGTTGCCATATGGTAAAAATTAGTTCTGCATAACGACAGAAAAATTGGAGATAAAATAATGTACATGAGTATAAACAGTTAACACAAAGAGAACATGAGTGATCGGACAAAACAGGTGATTTAGACACAGCATGTAGAACATGATATGGAAGAACATCATATTGTTCATGAATGAGTAACAAATGTCCATCTTACAACCTCAGTGGACTTATGTGTCCTGTTTGAAACTGTAACATGGAAATTTGTTAGAAGTTTGAAAAACAAAATATTCCTTGGATTCAACCCAGCGCTGGGACACAAGTGAAGTTCTAGGAAAAAGTACTGAGAAAATTACACAGATACCACATCTCATAAGGCATGCTCTAAAAATCCACCTATGGACAATCTTACAGCAGAATATAAGACCTTTACTTTTCACAAACTCTGTGAATATATGCAGCTGATGTGAGGTGACCAGGGTGTTCCCTGATTTAAGAATCAAGATCATAGCACATCGGGCACACCCACAGATGCTCCGTCTCCTGCAGCAAATGTCATAGATGCAGACACTGACTGTTCCAGTAGTATACTGGTTGTACTATCATCACACTCTTCCTCTCATATGCCCTTTCTTACTGCATTCACACATATACAGAAACTTATTCAAGTTGTTTCATCTAACATTGTATCTTCTTTCAGCAATGGTCTTCAGAATTTATGCCTTACCCTATATGGGTGTTCCTACCTCTGTTGCTTTTGCAGCCAAAATATCTGCTCTTTCATTTTCTTTCATTCCAGTTTGTCCCAAGTAAGTCCCAGTAATGCTGACATGATGAAGCTTGGTACCCACTCATGCTACATTCCCATTTTGAGTACACAATACCAACTGAGAATCAGACGCGATGATTCTTCCAGCTAATCTGTTGTCGGGTGTCCACATGCTAAAAGAGTGGTTATCAATAAAAGTCAAAGTCTTCTAAGACAATTGTTTTTTTCAGGCAGGCAAACCAGAGATTCTGTGAGTCTCAGTTAAGAACTGGCAGCAGCTTTTGAGAATGGGACATATGGCTGCTGACTGATTTACCTGCTGTATTTAGACATCTGCTGGCGTGACAGACATTAAGCAGTTATCAGCTGAGGAAGCATCTCAGAGACACACAATTAAATGACACAAAATGGTTCTGTTCAGGTATGATAAACAGGCAGCAGCAATATTACATACGACTTTCATATAAATCGTTGGTACAGAACATAACAGTTCCAGAGTGTTGAACAACATCCCAACTATTTACGAAACAATTTTTACCAGAAAACATGATCAGAAAAAGATATTTTCAAATAC